ATAAATGCACAAATCAGCACATAAGAAAGCTAGAAGCCACCTCAAATTCTATATTATTGAAATTATATTTTTGGGGGAATTCACGGTTTATCAATACACATAAGAAAGAGGCATGGATGATTCATTTAAGTATTGCAAACAGAGTAAGAGAGCTCAGAGTGAAGATTTTGCCCAATATTTATCACTGTACAAAAAAACTTTCTGATTTTAAAGACTTGGATGTAAACTACACTTTTTGTCCAGCTGAGCCAGAGAGTGTAATAATTTAATTAATTTATTTTTTTGACTGTCTTCCTTCTTCTGTGTTTGCAGCAACATGGAGGAATTCCTCAAGGTCAACTATAAACTAACTTTTAAATTTAAACCCACGATGTATGAACTAAGCCATAAGTTTGAGTCTAAAGATCAGACCTATGGCTCTATTATAAAAGTATTGCTCCTGTTAGGCAGATTTCTCATACAAAAGGCAACATTTTCTGGGTCCCTCCAAAACTTTGAGATGCTGTTATTGGACTTTTAACCAAACAGTCAAATAACAGCATATCATAAAAAGGCTGCCTTATTTCTGTAGATTTTGTGTTTGTTTGTAACAGATGTGAAGTCTTTGAAAAAAATCTCTCTCTCTCTCTCTCTCTCTCTCTCTCCATCTCTCTCTCTCTCTCTCTCTCTATATATATATATATATATATATATATATATATATATATATATATATGCATGCTATATTTTGCAAATTACTGTAAAAATACAACAAAATATTCAAGAAGACACCCTCTTAATTTAAATACTCAATTTCTTATAGTTTCTCTTCTGGAAACGTGTAATTACGTAGGTGGTAATTCTAATATAAAACTATTTGAATATTGATCTACTTGATCTGAATGGTTATAATGCAGGTTTATATGTGGTCCATGAAATCATCCTGCTAGGTCTACTTTATTAAAAACAAAAAATTGTTGGAATAACACTTTCAAAATAAAGTAACAATCTAATAAGCAAAGCAAAGTAAATATTTACAGTAATGTCGAGCCAGGAAATAATGTAATGTTTTAAGAATTTCTTTTTCCAATCAATGGATAATATATGTAACAAAGAAATGTAATTAAATAAATCTCACATTACAGAATTCTTTTTTGATATTGTGCCGAGCAGAATGTAAAGGTTTTTAACAATTCAAATAATTGTAGGGATTACATCAAATTTATCTAAAGGTCTGAATATAACAATCTCCCACCCTGAATGTTGTGGTCCAGAAGAAATGTGGCTGACACAATCCTAAAACCTTTATCTGCAAAGCAATGATTGCGTATTTCTTTCACAGTACCCCCTGCTAACATGAGAGGAAAATTTAGATCCACCTTTTTATAAGTTAAAAGTCCTCTACTTTAACCAAGGGATTTTATTTTGTGCCTTTAACAGCCTCACCCATGCTACTGAAATGATGTTAGCTGGTAATATTGCACATAAATGCAGTTAAAAATTATTTTGTAAGTAAACTTTTAAATGTAATAAAGGTCTTTTATGTTTATTGATCTACATCCACAGTAATCACTTTCAATGAGAATCATAATTCAGGTGAACCAACATCTCATCAACTGTAGTCAAATATTTGTGTAACAGTAAAGTGCCCCACCATTATAGCACAGGGTTGATGTAAGCGGAATAAAAGCTGTAGGGAAGGATGGAAGCAGATGATCCAGGGAACACAACTGAAAGGATGCATCTTTGTTTACCTACATATTTATTTTCTCTACACTGTATTTCTTAATGGTTTACAACTACCAAAAAGGGCCAGTCAACTCAATTTGTTTAGACAGGAGTAAGCCAGAGAGCTTCAGTATGCCCAGGGACAGGGGCGTACACAGATAGACACTAGGGGGTGCTAGAGCACCTGCCCTTTTCCCCTCTGGACAGAAACGTGCCCTTCTGAAATCAATTTAGTTTTTTCAGTCTTTGGTTCTAACTACCATTTGTGAATTTAAAAGTCTATCAAACCAAGGCTCTAGAATTTTGTATTTTTTCTCCACAAGACATCTAGCACTACCTCAATAGAGCCTTGCCCTGATGAAGGGCCAGCAAACAGTCCAGGCAGCTAAACAAGTGTATTTACCTCCTTCACCAACCAAAGCTAAAAAGTTACCTTTTGTCCATTAAACATTTCATTTCATTTAAAAGCAAACATAAGGTCAAACATAAGGCCAAATGATCACAATTCGTAAAAATAACTTCAATAAAGTTCTATTCAGTTAACATGGGACATGTAGATTAAGTTACATTTTGAATTCTTCTGTTTATTGACAGAAACATTGGATTGCAAAAAGAATGACAAAATATGTAGAATTTTCTGAAAAATAACTGCATTCACCCCTAAGCTGAGAAGAAAATATGATGATCTGACATTGGAATGAGATTTTCTTTTGGTTTTTACCTTAAACTAGGATTATTTCTTATTCTGCATTTGAAATAAGATAGAGTTGTTGTTTTTTTTCATAATTTTTCAAATCTTAGTTCTTCTGCATATTGGTATATATACACACTGAAATCATGAGAAAATAGACTTAAAGGATATTCTGGAATCCCGGGCTTTGCATTAAACTTCTCCTCTACTACTATGTACGATGGAAAACTGCATGAGGTACTTTAAACAAATGACATATTTATGGAAGGCATTTATGAGTGCAAGTAATTGTTGATCATATAAACTCAACCCAGAGACGGAGACATTGTCAGACATTTTATTACGTCTCCAGAAGAAGAAAAACTTGAAGAAATAGGATCATCACACATTTAAAGACTTATGATAGTAGTTACTTATAAACTAGAGGCAATTGTGTTTTACAGCGTAACCTGATAACTCAGAGCTGTAAGTTCATGTCAATCATGTTTCTTTCTATCTTTTTTGTGCTCTAGCTTTAAATTTTATTTTTTTACATAAATAAATAAAAAAAAAACTTCATGTACTGTTTTGTTTTTTTAGATGTGTCTATATATTAGTGGATTTTAAATAGTTATTTATTTAATTGACACCAATGAGGCATTTCTACCTATTTTTAGTTTATCTTCTACCAGAAGATCACTAAACATCAGTATCAGACAGTGTTTGCTGTTGGCGGCTCCATACGATGTATTAAATTGGCCTTTTTCCAACCTGAGCATCTCCCCCCAAAAATGTCTCTGCATGCCACTGCCCGGGGAGAACATGCAAACTCTAGTAGTAGTCCCAATCGTCATTGTTTACAGAACCTTATAAATCTTTTGGACATCTTTTCAGAGCAATTTGGGCTTAAACTTGACTTTGATAAATGTAAAATATTAGGGATTGGAAGTTGAAAGAAAACATCCTTTCAAATGAAATGTAAAGTGCCTGTTGTGTGGACAGATGGACCAGTTAACATATTTGGCTTGGTGATCCCAGAGAATCTGGAAGACCTACGTTCAGTAAATCATGATAATCGACAAAGAGAGCTGGATAAAATTCTGTAATTATGGAAAGGGAAATATTTAACCTTGTATCGTAAAATATCTATTGTTAATTCTTAAATCACTTCTCAATTTGCTCATTTATTTCTGTCTTTACCATATCCATCACATTTTTTCTTTAAGTTTCATGAACAGAAAACCTTAGATTTTATCTGGGATGGCAAGCCAGAAAAGACAAAAAGAAAAGTTTTGTACAATGACTATAAACATAGGGGTTTGAAACTCCTCAATCTAGAGATATGTGTTTGTCTTTGAAATAAATTGTTCCAAACATGCACACAAACGCTATGTTTGAAAGAGGAGTTATCTTTGTTAATGACATTATTAATGAGAACAGTAAAATTATGGAGCATGAGGATTTTAGAAATATATATGGTGATGCTTGTTCAAACTTTTCTTTTAACCAACTCAAAAAATAGGAAGAAAATAATTACCAATGGAACTACTAAACTATATGTTTGTAAGCCTCCAATAAGAAAATCTAATTGGCAAAAGGGAATTAAAATAAATGGAAAATGGAAGGACTACTTTGTCTGCCTGCTGCCATGGGATAAAATATTCAAATGAATCTATAAAACTACTGTTGATGTGCAAAATCATTATTTTCAAAAATAAAATCCTACACAATTTCTTACTCACTGGAAAAATGTTAAACCTATGGAATATGACAGTCAGATGATTTAATCCACCCTGCATTTGTTTTGGTTTTGTCATATTGTGTCTCTATTTTGGGTGGAAGTTGAAAAAATGTGTTTAAGGATTGCTGGTCTGTCTAAGAATTCTGATGTGGTTCCTGTTTTACTGGGAGAGTTTATAAACAGTCACTTAGTTAATTTAATCATTGTACTCCGTAAAAGGTTTATCTTTAAAGCCAAAAATAGATTTTTACTTAATATTAATTTCTTTAATACATTTATTTAGCATTATTTACCTTTAGAAAGTTATATGGTTGAAACTGATGATGAAGCCAGAAAATATAAAAACCTCTGAGAAGTTCTTAAATGGACGAATGAATAGGTGAATATATGTGAATGAGTGTGAGGGGGTGAGGGGGAGGGGAGGGAGGCTTTGGGGTTAGTATATTATCTCTGTAAATGTATCCTGCATTGTCATTTATGTTGATTTAATAAAAAAAAGAAAACAAACTCTAGTAGTAAACTACATCGAAAAAGCAATAATCATAACATTATTATGAGTTTCTTTGCTTCAATTATAAACAATATACTCTGGGCGGGTGTATAAACAGCAACAACATTAAAAGGCAAATACTTTGTCTGGAATAAAATAAATTGTCCTTCATGGAATTCTAAAGTATCTATTTACCACATTTTTGTGTCAAACCCCATTTTTATCATTGTATTAAAATATGACGATACGTCGTTTATGGACTCTCCTGACATATTCTTGTCTTGAACACGTTTAGTATTTTATTTTGAAAGTCTTATTCGGATGTGACATCCAAACCAAAATGAGCAGAGCTTTTAGAGCTCTGCTGTTGCTCAGTCAGTTGGAAGAAACTTGGTGGAAACGGAGCTCCGTCTGGACCCGGCGGCTTGTTCAGCTCCTCTTCCCTGACAAAGAGAGCGAGATGCGGCGGAAAGAGAAGAGGCTGCTGCAGGTCACCGGGCTGCTGATCGCCGCGGCTCTTTTCTTTCCAAACGTCGGCTTGTGGTCTTTGTACCGGGACAGACTGCTGGACAGCGGCTCGGCGGGCTCCGCAGACGGACCGAGTCGGATCTCAGAGCTGCTTCCGGTAGGCAGTGATTTTCTATTCAAATAATCAGGATGACAGTCGGACCTGCAGCATCTCTATGTGTGCGACTATCAGCAAAGAGAAATCAGACCTGAAATCTTTCTTTCATCAGATTTTCACTTGGAAATTCCGCTAAAAAAAATGGCGTGGGAAAGTTCTCAGCGCAGCTTCAGCACCAAGGACAGCGCAACGACTAAACCAAGCTTCAGGGAGGATTTGATTATAAATGTTAATATTTGACTATAAATGCTAATGCTTCAGATTAATCTGTTTACCTCTTTCCTTACATTTCAAAACAGACTGCTTGTATAAGAGTTAAAACAAAAAGATAGTGACGTTAAAAAATAAGGAATTACAGAAAATAGATAAGAACAATAAACTATACAAATAATATTGATCAAATGAGCAAGCAATGTAAAACGACATGAATAGAAAGATTCAAAACCATATAGATAAGTCCAGTTAAAAAAAAACTCTAAGAATGACCTTTCATGACATTCTTAAACATTGATAAACTTTAAACAAAACCATTAAATACATAAAAATATAAAGTGCAATGAAACTAAACAAAATATATAGATTATAAAATTAAAGATGACCTAGGCCTAGAGTCAAGTAAAATCTGTTTTTAAAAAATGAGACAGCCACTATATTTCAAGTATCAGTCTAAGAAGATATATTTGCTTTTGAAATCATCCAAACTCTCCAACAGTGAAGGTTGTAAAAAATTAATAATGCTTCTTTTCTCAGAGGAGCTGAGGGTGGAGCACTAGTTAAGTAAAAGCAAATCTATTAAAAAGGGTAGACTAAAACTATTAATATTTCAACATTCAATAAATTAATTTTTAAATGATTCTAAAACAAATAGTTTGCCAGTGGATGCAGGAATATATTGTCAATAAATGTCAGTAGGTTTAAGAGCATAAATAACATTATAGACTTTACTCAGAAGTCAGATGGATTCTCTTCTTGGGCAAAACTCACTGTTAGAAATGCACTGAAGTACTAAAAAAAACACCAAAAAAAAAACCACTCATAGATTACAGCAATTACATCAATTTAGTTTCCATCACTGTACATGCAATAAATACATATACAGGCATTTATTTGATTGAAAATGACTAAACAGGAGCAAATTATTCTTGAGGATTTCAGTCAATATTTTGAGTAAAATGTAATATTCCAAACACGTCTTAATCGCTTTCTTTTCTTTCATTTTATTTAAAGTTAGAGACAAAGACTGATGACGGTGCTTGTGGTTGTGGTAGAGAGATAAAGCAGAAAAATTGCTGTCACTTGAATTATGTTAGGTAAATGTGTTTTCTATCAGGGAAAACAAGACTTCCCATATCTGGTTTCAGTTTATCCGATTTTGGTTTCTTTTCACCATAGCAAGAAAATCACAAAGCAAATTAGAAGACAAATGAAAGGACAATAAGTGTATACATGTTAACGCACTCCTCCTGGACTCCCATTGCTTCACTGAAGTAGATAAAAATCAATACCCTAATCCCATTTGGGTTTTCCCACATAGATCTTGTTAAAGACATTCGGAGCTGGCATTCTCTTCCTCCCTTGTTGCCTCTGTAACTGATTTGAATAAAACACAAACAGGATGAGCTCATTTGCACGCTCACTGATGTGTTTGATAAAGCAGAATTAGAATAAGAGTCTCAGTTTAGGTTTAGGCATAGATCTAGAATTTAGGGTTAGGAAATTGATATCAGGGTAAGAGATTAGGTTTTTAGAATCAGTTTAAAATTAGAATAAGAGTCTCAGATGAATTTACACACAAAAATGCTTGAAAGGGTCAGAAAAGCTAACTAGTTTGACACAGAAATATTTGATTTGGGTGAAATACAGCTGCACATCTCAACAAAATGCCTTAGGAGTATTCCATTCATAAGATCTCAATTGATCCCACTAACAAACATTAATCCCTTTTCTTGTGTTTTTTACTTCAGTAAAAAAAAAAACTCTAGATTTGTTGAGTATTATGGTCCGTAGTCACTGCTGCCACCATCTGGTTTAGTGGGAACTGCTTGTTCAGTCAAATATCCTGATCGCACAGAGTTAGACGATCCTTTTACAAATTCCTGAATCCAGATTATGATCTGGATTATCACCAAAATGTAATGGATTGTTTCTTAGCCTGAGGGACACCTCCAATAAAAATGAAATTTGAATCTGTCCATCAACCCCTCAAGTTATCCAGTACACAGACAGACAAACACACAAACTCTCTAAAAACATAACCTCCTTGGCGGAGGTAACTATTAAGTATGGCACATCATCACATAGTGCTGTGGACATGTCTGATAATTAAAGAAATGTTTTGGTCTTGATATGTTTATTGAGAATAGCCAGCAACTCTTTCAGTCCAGTGGTTATAGGTGGCATTAATACGCTTAAAGATGGTTTGCCCCACATAGATGGGAACAGGATGAATGCCGGATAGTCCTACCATAATGGAATCAGGACAAGAGAGGATTTAAGCCTGTGAAAAACTTTAGAGCCAAACATGTATAGGTGTGTAAATAGAACAAAGAACAACAGAAATAAAATCACGTTTTTGTTAAGAAAAAAAATGTCCTGCCTTTGGTGCTGCTTAGAAATGGTGAAATCTTTCCAGCTTTAATTTTCAACAGCTAGGGACTGAATTCAGACTGTTTCAGGCTTGTTTTGGAATCAGTGTTGATCGACGTTAATCTGAATCACGTTCAGTTCAAATATGGTTTTTTAATAAGTCATGGAGAGGAAACTTACTGCAGGTCCAGGTCCCCTTTATTTTTACAATCCATGCCAGAAGTGCACTGATCTTTTTTCATTAGATAAAGTTTTCATTCACATTCGACCTTGAGGCTTTATTAAATAAAAGACCCCTGATTGCTGTTTGCAGAGATGTTTGAACATTGTTCTTTGTTTACTTGATCCTCTATATTTTAGCTAACAAAATTCTGTCAAACCAGCATCAAATGGGAAACCAGCATCAGTGGATTCAACATCTAAACCTAACCCCTCTGAGCACTAACCCTAATCCTGACTTTGGTGGATGACAAACATAACCCTAAAGTTACTCGATTTAATATCACTCCTTTGTTTAATTCCCATTGAATAACTTCTGGTGTGTGCTTCCATTATAGATGAAAAAACTTCCGTATTTGTCAAATTGTGGGATAGTTTCCAGTCAGTTAGCATAACTGACATCTGGATTAGTCTATTTTTTTTGTGGCAGTTTTTAGCTGTTCTTTTCTTCCTTGATTTTTATCCCTTTTTGTTTTGTGGATTGAATGATCAATCAAGTTAGCATTCTGTGTGCTAGGGTGGCGCTCATTGAGGAATTCATGCAAGGCCAATTGGAACCAGACAGTCATAAACCGGAAAGACCAGACAGCAAAAATAAGGAAAAGCTGATACTGTGTATGTGTCTGAATTCACCAAACTGTATGATTGAAATTTATGATTTGAGTCGCTGTTGAAATAGAGATGTTTCACATGCTGGAACTCCTCAACCTGCTCTCTGGATCCAGGGATTTCTGCATGAAGAGCTTCTTCTTCCTTTCTACACTTTGATGCGAACAACTGACAAAATGACTAGACCTCCCAACCCAGCCAGCGCAGAGCTGACCAGCCAGCGCAGAGCTGACCAGCTACAGCTGAGCTGACCAGCTCTATTGGAGCTGACCAGCCAGCACAGAGCTGACCAGGCAGGATGGAGCTGACCAGCGAGCTCTTTATTAAAAACTGACCTCTTTTAGCTCTTTGATGTTGCCGCTGTCCACTAGAGGGCAGCACCCTTCATTCTCAGACTGCCTCACTGCTCTCTGCTAGTGAAGTGATGCCAGTGTGGAGGCATGCTAGAGCAGAGGCATGAATCAGTCGAGAGTTGTTTGCGTGATTATTGACACTGCTTAATGGCGAAAATGATGCACAAGGAACTTTATGTGGTTCTGTTTGTGGATATAGATATAAACAATCTGTAAGTTATCAGCTAAATTGTGTTTATTTCGGTATGCTGATAAACCACAGAGCTGCGTCGCTACTTTGCTATCCTTATAAGGTGAGGATGTGATGATAGAAAACCGTAGGGCGCTACTTAAAACCTTTTCAACATGATTCAATGCAGTTTATTTATATAAAAGCAATTCAAAACATATCATTCCAGACACACACACACCAGATCATTCAGTCAGATTGATTCAAAGTTTTCTAAGGAAAACCATCTGATTGCATCGACTCATGACCTCATTGGCTGTCCAGCAGTCCTTAACACCAAGCATGTATGATGCACGATAGAAAAAGACATGCTGACAATCAATAGCTGGTTGATCTGCTTGGTGGAAGATTCTGCCCATTAGGCTGAATTTAACTGTAACTCCCCAGACTTAACAGACTTAACAAAACATTTAAACAAAAAAGAAGTTATTCAGAAGACCTGCACAACTTTTCAGACAAGTCAGCTTGTCACGTGGGACCCCATCAGTCTTAATTTTCTCCATACCTAATAAAGGTGTAACAAATAAATAATTACTTTAGCCTCCATGTACCTTTTGGACAGGTCAAATATAACACAGCCTTGGGAGTGCTGCTGTGATGCCGTGGTTAGCGCACACCACCCATGTACAGAGGCCTTAGTCCTTGACACGGCCGACCCAGGTTCCAAGCTGACCTGTGGTCCTTTGCCACATGTGTCTCCCCCTCTCCATACCCCTTTCCTGTCAGCCTACTGTTGAAAAAACAAGCCACAAGTGCCGTGAAAACGCAACAAAAAAAAGAAGAAAATATAAAACAGCCTTAATAACTGGACATTTGCTCAGTGGTCCAAAAACATATCTTGAGATGAAGTTGAAGTTTGAATTTTGTAAATTTTGGTCCCAGAATGTGTAGAATCCAAGTTTCTTAGAATGATTTGGGGAAGCCTGATATTAGTTGGTATTAGTCTACTGTGTTTTCTGAGGTTTAGACTCAAAGCAGCAATCTAACTGGAATGTTTAGAGATA